AATAATCTTCAAAAACTATAAAGTCATGTATAAATTATGGCAATAATGTGAATATTGTAAAAATTATCCAGTACCTCCAATGTGGTATTTAGAGTCTTTCTAAAGAGAAGGGAAAAAGGACATAAGATAGAAGCATTTGACTTATTGGAGTCAAATATTTGAATTATTGGAGTCCAATATAGCAACTTTTGTTTAACAAAAAAAAATATTCAAATTAAAAACCAATAAATTAAGTGCAGGTTATAATTTATCCTGTTTTATGACTATATAAAAATAACATTGAGCACTTGTAATGGAAAAAAAATGTCCTTTTTACATTGGCAGCCAGAAAGCTTGCAGACAAACATGTGACTCACATTTTGTGGTAGTATAAGTCACCATATAGTCTTCAACTTTTTATTTTTCCTCTACCTGGTTTTCCTCCCATTTTTATTTCTGTCGTATGTTGTTTGTATCTTTATTTTTAAGCTCCCTTAAATTCTTTTGGAATAACTTGACAATAAGAAAGCCCTCACTCTGATAAAATGGGTTATCAGGGCAAGTGGGGAATCTGAACTCTCCAGAAGAGTTTAGAAATACACTAAGAAATATATAATGTCAGTGCAGAGAAGAAAGGGCTTCTCACATGCTACCCAGAACTCCATACCAAAGGATCACATGCTACCCAGGGCTCCAGACCAAAGGAGAAAGCATCTGCAGGCCAGCCAACTGGTTAATGAGTATCTGAGCTTTGGTCCCAGCGAACAGATCATGGCATTCCTCCCCCCACTCCTCAACCCCCTCCCCTGCCCCATCACTGGATTGAGACCACTAAAAATGTTTCTTACAGCCTAGGGAGTATAGATCCAGAGCCTACATTTGATCTGTTCCACTATTTTAACAAATAATTATACTGAAGAGAATATCTGTTTGCATTGGTAAAATATCCAAATAATGTTAATGATTCAAGGTTCATACCTAACAGACCAGCTCAGTTATGGAATTAAATCTGATTATTTCAACAAGCAAAGAGAAGTTTGAAATCATGAATATTTTTTTTAAAGATTTTATTTATTTATTTGACAGAGAGAGATCACAAGTAGATGGAGAGGCAGGCAAAGAGAGAGAGAGAGAGGGAAGCAGGCTCCCTGCTGAGCAGAGAGCCGGATGCGGGACTCGATCCCAGGACCCTGAGATCATGACCTGAGCCAAAGGCAGCGGCTTAACCCACTGAGCCACCCAGGTGCCCCTGAAATCATGAATATTTTAACACTTTAGTCAGATTTGGTGCAAAATTACTTTTGCTTTCAATCCAATATTGGCTATTTAATATTAGAAAAACAACATAATCCAATACATTAAATTAATATTAATCTCACCTTTATTATTTTATAGATTTTTTAATATTTAATTTATAAATGCATTTTAGTTAACACATAAAAAAGGAATAAGAATTGTCTAGTTTTACATTTGTAAATACATAAAATTATAAAGTTTGCAGTTCAGCACTAGGAATCTGAGAAATTTTTCCTGTAAAAGAAAAAGAACTCATTCTTAAAAGCTATTTGCATTTTAATTAGGGCCTTTTAGAGGCCGAAAGGTCCTCAAGAATCACAGAAATTATATTCTAAGCTTGGAAATGAACTACTGTATTAGATAGTGAAGGAGAGATCTACAATGCCAGCCATAAACAAAGTACATTTATGGAACTCAAAGTACTCAGTGTCACAGCACACATGTAAGTGTGAGAGAGAGAGAGAGAGAGAGAGAGTGTGTGTGTGTGTGTGTGTAAAAGTGTTAAAAATATAATACCACAGAGAGACTATGCAAGTGTCTGTAATTAACTATTTAATATGAGCAAGCAAACAAGTACATTTCCAAAATACAAAAAAATTCATCAAGATAAAAGTAGAAACCAAACAAAAGTCACCACTCTCACCCTCCTGGATCACACTGTTATCTCCTTGACCCACTCTGGCTGTGATATGGCTCTGAGGCACATCTACAGTGGACAGAAAGGAACTTTCCAAAGGATGAATCAGTTGAAACTTCTCATAAAATTTTGGAAAGCCAAGGATAATAATCCTGAGTACCAAAAGTGTCACCCACACAACCCTTTGGCCCTAGTAATCAAGGTGATTTAGGCCCCAAGGTAGATTCATAAGAATTATATTTCTTATGTCAGTCTCTGCTCTAGAACACTGAAGTCCACATCACATTCCAGTATGCTTTCTGAAATAGAATTATCCTTCTCTTCCTTTTTCTACATCACTGTGATCTCTACTTCTAAACTCTCTTTTCTAAGCAAAGACATTCAAGCCATCTCATGAAAATAGGATATTTGGTTTAACAAACAATTGAATTTAAAACTTGTTGTTTAAAAACCCTACTAACAGGGTTTTGAGTTTTGTGTGTATGTGTGTGTTTTGTTTTTTCTTTGTTTTAATGTTCCTGTTGCTACAACTACTCTTTAATTTTGACTTTGAGACATTTATTTTACAATCACATTTATGATGTTCTGTTGCTTTTGTTGAATCTAATGAATCAGCTTTTGCAATCATATTTCCTTTTTTACTCTTGGGTGCTTTGTTTCAAACTGAATTTTTCCTACTATTAGTAGGAAAGATCATTAATAATTTCTTACGATTAGAAAAGCAATAACAGGGGCTCCTGGGTGGCTCAGAGGGTTAAAGCCTTTGCCTTTTGGCTCAGGTCATGATCTCAGGGTCCTGGGATCGAGCCCGCATCAGGCTCTCTGCTCAAGCAGGGAGTCTGCTTCCTCCTCTCTCTCTGCCTGCTTCTCTGCCTACTTGTGATCTCTGTCAAATAAATAAATAAAATCTTTAAAAAAAAAAAAAAGAAAAGCAATAACATGGCTTAATGTGAAGAGTATGGGCTTTGAACTGAGCTCAAATGCTAGATCCATCTTATTATCAGATCATGAAAGTGTTGCTTAATTTCAAGACTTAGTTTTCTTTAGTTTAAAATGGTAATAATATTAATACCTACTTCATAGCGTTGTGAGGGTAATAAACTCACACACAAAAAGTACAGTGCTAAGGGAGATTAGTATTCTATTTGTAATCAAATTGTACAGGAAATCAAAACATTTGCTTAAATAAAATATGAGGAGATGAAGTACTTATCAACACGTGATTACTATGTTCTGGAAGAAAAGTACACATGTAGACAATATCCAGCAAAACATTTCCAAATCACTTTAATTGAATATTGGAATGTATGGGTCATTTCACCACTAGTGATTTCAGTTATTTAGTTTATATTTCCCAAACAAGCACTAAAAGGCAAAGTAGAACCTGGACCAAGTAGAAAAGGTGACCCACTTTTAATTATCCTTAGTATAAGTCGTTGTGCTTCATTTACAGAGTACCTGCCACACATAACAAACTGGAAAAGTCAGTAAGTACGTGAGGAATAGCTCAGCTCAGTCAGAGCCAATTTACCTGTGGGTCTCCATGATAATAGGTTGAGAAAAATGGCATGAAATATACTCAAGCCTTGGATCTTGCTACTTATGGAAATAAAAGCACAATGATAGTAATTTTAACTATTGTAATGATAACTATTCATTAAGTTTTATTCTAATCATTAAGTAGAACTTTTTTAACTTTCTAATTAAAATAGGTCTGATAAGGAAGGGCACCTAAATGAAAAAGTCACATTTTAATTATAGGAGTCAAAGAAAACTTCATAAAAGTTAATAGAAATGGTGTCCTATTAGCAAGATGAGGTGCATAATTTACCCGAAGGCACCTATTTTTATAGGAATGTGGTTTTAAAAAGAATATGACACAACCCAAAAAGTCCATAATATTTGGTTTAAAAAGACAGGAGCTCTCAACTCTCCAGTGATTATTGTCTTTCCTTCAGTGAAGAAGAGCTCTTCAATGCCAGAGGGATGGAGGGGTATTATTGCAAATACCAGGACATTTAGATGGACTCATTTTCCATTAATAACAAGATGTAAATTAAAGAAGAGGAGAGTAAACACCTTAATCATCCAAGTCCAATTGTTTGTCTAAATAGCATAAGTCCATATCCTATCCTCAAGGGAATTAGACCAGGGTTCCACGCACAGTTGCCTAATTGGACATTTCATCACCATCCTCATCCAGACATCCTTCCTGCTTAAATGCCTGAAAGCATGATCATAGAGAGACTGAGGTAGGGGCACTGAACCAGGAGTCAGCTGACCTGGATTCTTCTCTCTGTTCTGCCAGTGAAATTTACATTCCCTGGGCCTCAGTATCTTCACCTAGAGAATGACACAGTTGAACTTAGCTGATCTGCAAGGTAGAATAATGGTCACTTCCCCACAATTAAAATATGTGAAAAGCAGATTTGATATCAAAAATCTATTTTTACAGCACCATTTTAAGACACTAAAATTTGGTACCTACCTGTTGGGAGTGAGGGGGTAAATCACTTGACTTGAGGTATTAAATAAAAAATGTGTAGTCATCTGTCTGAAGAGCATTTACTATTGTAGTTGTTTGACTTCAAATAAATAACAGGATTTAATTAATAAGTGTAAACGATATTTCCCCATATTTGAAAAAACCTCAAAATCACACATTTCCCTAATATTAAGTCAGACATTCTTACCTACCAGGTTATTAATTTGGGCACACAAGAAAAGCTTCTACATGGTAGTTTCACTGTTGCCCAATTATTCTATAGCTTTTCTACGAAATAGATAATAAAGATTTCCAAAGTGTGTGCAGGGGAGGAGGAAGACCAGGATATGCACTTTTAAAACTACTTTCAAACTAATGCAATGTTAATTATTTTAAAAATAATAATTTTGTTATATACATTTTTTCAAGCTTCACAGCTCAGTTCGCGTTAACTCCTTTTACTCTAATTCCCAAATACATTCTCCTCTCCTTGCCAGTCCCCAGCCATTCCAACAACCACCCCCCCACCCCCCGCCAAGGGGCACTCCTCCCCCTCTCCACCTCTTTTCCAGGCCACACCACCACCACCACCTGCGTCCTCACCTGTCCGCGCTGAGGGCAGTGAGAGTGAACACGGAAACCCCCACCGAGGTGAGCTGGATCACCGGGATCAGTTTGCAGCCCACCTTCCCGAACATCCACTCGTCGAAGAAGTAGCGCGAGGCATCCACTGGGACGCAGGTGAGCAGCAGCAGCAAGTCCCCGGCGGCCAGATTGGAGATGAAGATGTTGGGGACGCTCCTCATGGCGCTGTTGGTGATAAAGATCTTCACCAGCATGATGTTGCCCAGCAAGCCCACTGTGATGATGAGCAGGTAGAGGGACGGGATCACGCAGCGGATCGCGAACTTGGCGCTGGTCCCGTCGGAGGGTGGCAGGAAGTCTCTCTCCGACACTCCGGGGACCAAGTCTCCCGGATTCTCCTCCGCGGTCCCGGAGAGGTTGCAAAGAGACTTGGGGGGCATGTTCTCCTTTCCGGGAGAGTCCACTGGAGTTTCCATGCGCCCTGGTGCCCTGACAAGTGCACCACACACTTGGGCTTAATCAATTTCCCTCTCACAGGGGCAAGTTTACTGCCTGGGGAGAGCGAGTCACACTGCCACGTCCCAAAGAGGACCGGGCCTTGGTGAGAAGTCTGTCCACGCTCAGGTGCTTCACTTCTGGAAGGGGCACACCGGAGCCTGCTGGCTCCAAATTTAAAAAAAAGAGAAAAAGGCAAAGCAGTTGCGTCTTTGTTCTAATCCTCAGTGGTTTATTTTCCTTTATAGCTAGCGGAGAACAGTCCTGCTGTGAACAAAGATTTATCCCTCGGGAATTAATAAAAGTACCTGCCCGACAGTTCGCGGGGACGGGAGGAAGTCTTCCTGCCGCTGCCCAGCGAACCGCAGCTGACTGAGACCGTGGGAATAGCAGACGGGCGGCGGGCACTTTGCTCTTTCCACAGCTTTGCTCTTGTTCTGCAGTTCCTACTGAAATGTGTGGAATTGGAAGGGATCTGAGTCCTCTCTTTCACTCGCGCCCCTACATAGTTCCATCCTTACCCGCCTCCGAGCGGGAGGAGCCCCAGACTGTTACCAACCTGCGAATTCAGGAGCTGAGCTGGCAAGGTCCTGGCATTGCAACACTCAATTTAGGAAAGAGAATGAGTGACAAAGGATGGAGCAAAGAATGGAATTCCTTCCCCACTCTTCTTTCTTGACCCATTTTTTTCACCCCAAATAAGGAAGCTCTTTCCAACAGCTGGCGTATTAGTTTTCAACATATTTTATTGAAATATGGTATGCATAAGTCCACGATTCCTAAATGTACAGCTTAATCTAACCACCGCTCAGAACCTACAATCTAACCATTATCCCTCGCAGTGACTGCTATTTATTCTAACTTTTAGCATCTAAGATTAGTTTGCTGCTTTTGAGCATGTTATAAACTGAACCATAAAGTATTTAATCTTGTGTCCAGTTTCTTTCTCTCAAGATTATATCAGTGAGACCCCCTCGTGATTTTGTGTGTAGCATTTTTCATTGCCACAGAGTATTCCAATATAAACATGCCACTGTATTTACCCCTTCTAATGTTGACATTTGGATTCTTTATGATTTTAGCTAATTTGGACAATGTTTCCATTAATATTCTTTGCCTGTCTTCTGATGCACATTTGAATGTCAGGTGTAGATTTTTTTTTTAGATCACAATGGTTGAATATGTTCAACTTTAGCAGAAATGAACACTTTTCAAAGTGAATTCTAACTTTTTTTTTCTTTTGGAAACTTGCTGGACAATATCTACTAAGGTTGAACATATGAATGCCTATGACTGAGCAATGCTACCCCTAAATATACACTCAGTACACATATAATATACTATTTTTCAGTCTCAGTTATATAAGAGAGTGATTCAGCAGTTCCATACATAACTCAGTGCTCATGATGATAAGTGTACTCTTTAATCCCCATTACCTTGAAAACGCTATTTTATTTTATTTTATTTTTTAAAGATTTTATTTACTTATTTGACAGAGAGAGCTCACAAGTAGGCAGAGCAGCAGGCAGAGAGAGAGAGGAAGCAGGCTCCCTGCTGAGCAGAAAGCCAGATGTGGGGGCCAGGACCCCTGAGATCATGACCTGAGCCAAAGACAGAGGCTTAACCTACTGAGCCACCCAGGCCCCCAATAACACTATTTTAAATAGTGTATTCCCAAAACCAAAATGACTTTCCAAATCAACACCATCTGAGTTTAATGTAAATTTCTCAGAAGTGGCACAGTTCTGAAGTTAGCTAAATAACACTCTTTATTAGAAATGACATTAGGCTGGTTCTTGGTTACTAAAGAATAAAATTGTGTGATAAAAAGAAAATTAGTCAAGAACTATCTACAATGATCTAGCCATAAGCTGATGAAATGTGCCAACCCATTTCTAAAATGTAAGCAATTGTTCAAATATTTCTGATCAGTAACAGCATTTAATTATCTTAGTTTCATTAGCCAAGATAAACATTTGCACTGTACTCAATTTCATGTTTTCTAACTTGATTACAAGTCCTTATCATATTCTTCTTGGATTTCATTACTTAATTTGTTATTAGGTTAAGGTTGGCTAAATAAAATCAGTTTGAATGTATATAATGTATATAAATGTGTATGTATATAAATCACTTTTATATGTCATATATATCAAGGCAATTAATATTACATATAAGTTGAGAATGTCTCTAGGAATTTTATCTTCAAAGTTATTTAAACTTTATCTTTTATCATCCAGTCTTATTATGCAAAATAAATTAACTACCAAAGCAATCTTCTACATTAAGAAATCTCTCACTTTTAAACTGCAACTATTCCATTCTATCCTTTTTTATGTGAAAACAAATTGTAGTCTAAATCACTGTATGAATATATGCACTCTTTTCTGACTGTGTCTGATGATGTTAAGCATTTAGATGAGAAAAATGTTTAGTCTAAAAGCTGGATTGATAAATATCCAATTGCCTGACATTACAGAAATGAGGCATCTAGAATTGAATTTTTGCATTTTGAGTGAATCCATATGTAATTACCTAAGGTCTTAGGTTCATGAAATTGGAGAGATAATGAATGCTTTAATAATAATAGTCTTACTGGTATTTTATTAAAATATTATAAAATTATTATAATTATGTATGTATTTAGATATATTACCAAATTGCATATAGGTGCATGGGTATTATCTCATATGTATAGAATCAGTACACATCAGAATAAACATCTATCAAAGGGACAAATTTTTTTATTAAAAAAGTTCTATACATCAATGTTCTATACATCACATTAGGTGCCTTAAAGTAACATCTAATTTAATGTTTTAAGTGTTCTATGAGGTACATATGTGAGTCTTAATTTTACATATGAGATGATCAAAACTCATAAAGGCAAGATAACTTGCTTAATTTCCTAAAGACTTTAGTAAAACTGTATTTTGAAGTCTAATATATTTGACTTCAAAGTCCACTGTATCTCATTGTTCCAAGAGAATAAAATTGCATGAAAAAATGTAATTTCTATGTAATTGAAGCACACATTTTTAATACTGAAGTTTTCAATGTTTATAAAATATATATAATACATTTCATTGCCCTAAACTGAACAAAATCTATTCAGAAGTATATGTAAACATTCTTTGTCTTTTAAAATTCATGCAAATAAGCTGGAAATCTCAACCAAAAAAAGAAAACAGAAGAAAAAAGAAAAGAAAAGAAACAATTTGTCAGATGATACAAACAATTGTATCAGATGATACAATAAATAGATAAAGATGTCAAAAATGTACTAAAACCTTAAACCTTGTGTTTGAGAAGGAAGAAGAAAACATTAGCATTAACATAGAGAAATGGTGAATATAAAAAAACATATTCAATTTCTACAAAGGAAAAAACAATGTGATGGGAAATAAATTTTATAAGATTAAGAGTAGATCAAACACTGCAAAAGAGATCAGTGAACTTGAAATATAATAACAGGAATTATCCAAAATAAAATACTGAGAGAAAAAAAACTGAAAGAAAAAAAAAAAAAAAGAACAGTGTATCAATACACTGTGGAAAGAATTCAGTGGCCTAATCTTTCTGTAATTAGGTCCCTGAAGGACAGGAGAGAAAGAAAAATTAAAATAGTGGCCCAGGATTTTTTCAAATTTGATGAAAGCAAATCCCAAGCAGAAGAAACATGAAGGAAATTCTACGAAGAAAAAAACTGAAAACTCCCTCTAAGATTGGGAACAGGGGCGCCTGAGTAGCTCAGTGGGTTAAAACCTCTGCCTTCGGCTCAGGTCATGATCCCAGGGTCCTGGGATCAAGCCCCGCATCGGGCTATCTGCTCAGCAGGGAGCCTGCTTCCTCCTTTCTCTCTGTCTGCCTCTCTGCCTACTTGTGATCTCTATCTGTCAAATAAATAAATAAAATCTTTAAAAAATAAGATTGGGAACAAAGAAAGGATGTTCTCTTTCACCACTTTTATTTCACATTGTACTGGAAGTCTTAGCAATGCAATAGGACAAGAAAAGGAAATGAAAGGCATACTGATTAAGAAGGAGGAGTAAAATCGTCACTGTTCAAAAATGGCATGATTATGGAGACAATCCAAAAAATTCAACAAAAAAACTTGCAACTAAAAAGTGATTATGGCAAGATTGTAGGATACGAGGTTAATATATAAAAGCCAATTGCTTTTTTATATAGCAGCAATGAATAAGTGGAATTTGAAATTAAAAACATGATACCATTTACATGAGCACTCCCAAAATAAAATACGTGTACAAATCTGGAAAAATATATACAAGAGCTATATGAGGAAAGCTATAAACCGCTGATAAAAGAAATCACATAAATAAGGGAATGAAATAAATGGAGAGATAATCCATACTCACGGATAGGAAGACTCAATATTTGTAAGATCTCACTTTTTCCCCCGCTTGATCTATAATGATATATCAATTAAAATCTTAAGTTAATTTGTGGATATTGACAAAGTGAATCTAAAGTTTATATGGTAAAGCCAAAGACCCAAAATATCCAACACAATATTGAAAAAGAACATAGAGAATGTACACTACCTGACTTCAAGATTCACTATAGAGCTACAGTAATCAAGACAGTATGGTATTAGCAAAAGAATAAACAAATACATCAATGGGACAGAATAAAGAGTACAGAAATAGATTCACATAAACATAGCCAACTAATTTCTGACAAAGCAAAGGTAATACTATGGAGCAAAGATTGTCTTTTAGCAAACTGTGCTAGAAAAAAAAATTCACATGCAAAAAAAAAAAAGAAAGAGAAAAGAAAAAAAAGAGAATTGTGACTCAGACCTTATATCTTACCCAAAATTAACCATCAACCTAAGTGTAGAACATAAAACAATAAAACTCCTAGAAGATAACAGGAGAAAACCTAGATGACCTTGGATGGCAATATTTTTTTACATATAATA